ATATTGAAGTATTTTGTAATTTCGAATGCCTTCACTACAACAACATTCTCAGTAACAAAAAAAAACTTTTACTTAATATGACTGTGATATGCAGTTCTTTATCTAACTTAGTTGAATGCATTGACTCTGTCGCTCTGGATAAGAGTGTCTGCTAAATAACCAAAATGTAAATGTAAATGTAAATATAAAAATGAACAATTGCAAGGCACACTGGGCATTATTATTGACCTTGTTTTGTGGTGGAGCTTATTAGAATAATATCCAGCATGCTTTGCAAGTGTTAATTTTTACATTTGCATTTTGGTCATTTAGCAGACACTCTTATCACACCATAGTGCCATCGGACTTCTGATACCAATGCAGGTTGAAAGTGTCCACAAAATTGTGAACTGCTGTAAAAAATTATATAGAAAAGTATTTTGTATTTTTTAAATACAAATCACAGGTCCGGAAATTATGTTGTTACAAAATACATTGAATTATAGTTCAGGCCGGTGAAATACAAATGACAAAATACGTATTTCATATACAGTACCAGTTAAAAGTTTGGACACACCTACTTAATCAAGCGTTTTTCTTTATTTTTACTATTTTCTACATTGGAGAATAATAGTGAAGACATCAAAACTATGAAATAACACATACAGTGAGGGGAAAAAAGTATTTGATCCCCTGCTGATTTTGTACGTTTGCCCACTGACAAAGAAATGATCAGTCTATCATTTTAATGGTAGGTTTATTTGAACAGTGAGAGACAGAATAACAACAAAAAAATCCAGAAAAACGCATGTCAAAAATTTTATAAATTGATTTGCATTTTAATGAGGGAAATGAGTATTTGACCCCCTCTCAATCAGAAAGATTTCTGGCTCCCAGGTGTCTTTTATACAGGTAACGAGCTGAGATTAGGAGCACACTCTTAAAGGGAGGGCTCCTAATCTCAGTTTGTTACCTGTATAAAAGACACCTGTCCACAGAAGCAATCAATCAATCAGATTCCAAACTCTCCACCATGGCCAAGACCAAAGAGCTCTCCAAGGATGTCAGGGACAAGATTGTAGACCTACACAAGGCTGGAATGGGCTACAAGACCATCGCCAAGCAGCTTGGTGAGAAGGTGACAACAGTTGGTGTGATTATTCGCAAATGGAAGAAACACAAAAGAACTGTCAATCTCCCTCGGCCTGGGGCTCCATGCAAGATCTCACCTCGGGAGTTGCAATGATCATGAGAACGGTGAGGAATCAGCCCAGAACAACACAGGAGGATCTTGTCAATGATCTCAAGGCAGCTGGGACCATAGTCACCAAGAAAACAATTGGTAACACACTACGCCGTGAAGGACTGAAATCCTGCAGCGCCCGCAAGGTCCCCCTGCTCAAGAAAGCACATATACAGGCCCGTCTGAAGTTTGCCAATGAACATCTGAATGATTCAGAGGAGAACTGGGTGAAAGTGTTGTGGTCAGATGAGACCAAAATTGAGCTCTTTGGCATCAACTCAACTCGCCGTGTTTGGAGGAGGAGGAATGCTGCCTATGACCCCAAGAACACCATCCACACCGTCAAACATAGAATTATAAACATTATGCTTTGGGGGTGTTTTTCTACTAAGGGGACAGGACAACTTCACCACATCAAAGGGACGATGGACGGGGCCGTGTACCGTCAAATCCTGGGTGAGAACCTCCTTCCCTCAGCCAGGGCATTGAAAATGGGTCGTGGATGGGTATTCCAGCATGACAATGACCCAAAACACACGGCCAAGGCAACAAAGGAGTGGCTCAAGAAGAAGCACATTAAGGTCCTGGAGTGGCCTAGCCAGTCTCCAGACCTTAATCCCATAGAAAATCTGTGGAGGGAGCTGAAGGTTGCTTTGCTGGTGACACTGTCAGTGATTTATTTCGAATTCAAGGCACACTTAACCAGCATGGCTACCACAGTATTCTGCAGCAATACGCCATCCCGTTTGGTTTGGGCTTAGTGGGACTGTCATTTGTTTTTCAACAGGACAATGACCCAACACACCTCCAGGCTGTGTAAGGGCTATTTGACCAAGAAGAAGAGTGATGGAGTGCTGCATCAGATGACCTGGCCTCGACAATCACCCGACCTCAACCCAATTGAGATGGTTTGGGATGAGTTGGACCGCAGAGTGCTCAGCATATGTGGGACCTCCTTCAAGACTATTGGAAAAGCATTCCAGGTGAAGCTGGTTAAGAGAATGCCAAGAGTGTGCAAAGCTGTCATTAAGGCAAAGGGTGGATACTTTGAAGAATCTAAAATATAACATATATTTTGATTTGTTTAACACTTTTTTGGTTACTACATGATTCCATAGTTTTGATGTCTTCACTATTGTTCTACAATGTAGAAAATAGTACAATAAAGAATGAGTAGGTGTGTCCAAACTTTTGACTGGTACTGTACATGTAACAGAAATCTCTGCACACACACCCACATACTCCCCAGAGCTTCTGCTGTCTGTAGATGTGTGGGATGACTGTTAACCACAATGTCAGGGAGAAAGTGTGTGCGTGTGTGTGCATATGTGTGAAAGCCTTTGGATTCAAAATAAATTCAGAGAGAAAGCCTGAGAAATGAACAGGGTTTCCCCCCTATGGTTCCATAGTGTGATGTTGTCATGAACCACGTTAACTGCAGTATCGACGGAAAATCTATGTGTTCTGTGCGGAATACTTGACACATATTAGAATGCCCAGGAGGTTATATGTGTAGTTCGTACAATGACCACTAGAGGCCGCTACTCGCTAACATCATGGAAGGTGGAACGTGTGTCAATGTGACGCATGTTAGACAAAGGGAAGAATAGGAGTGGAAGGCTATTGTTTAGACATGGTAATTGAACTAGGCAATACCTCGGGCATGAAAGAGAAGGGAAAAAATAAGGGAATTATTAAAAAACAGAGTGAAAAACAGAACTTGGCAGAACCCGTGTGGATTAAAAAAGCCAGACGCCATTTATTTTCTTTCTTTTTTTCCATCTATACAGTTTATTATTTTAAATCAAATAAAAACTCAAGACAAGAACTAAAAATATAATCACAGATAATCAATTAATCCCTTGTTAAATCGCCGTCCCCCCGCCTGTGTGGTCCTAAGGTAGGGGAAACCCTTCTGGGGGTGCCTCCTAATAGTCTTGACAAGCTTCCTCTCCTAGTCTCCTCTCTGTCATCAGCACCAATCTGAATGGATAGGAATAGGATAGGTGAAAGTAATATGGCGGAATCCTACTAGCAAACCAGCTTTCACCTGTCCAGTAATTTTTTTCTGATCAGTGTGAATGAAGGAGAGGAGACAAGGAGAGGAGCCAACTCTAGACTATTGACATGTGTCCTTATAGAGTGCGGCACAGTGGATTGTTGTTGGTATTGGAATGACATACATAGCAAAGTGCCCATAGAAATAGAATGAAACGAACGGAATTGGAACCTTATGGCATAATTTATTTGAATAGGTATGCCTGTTCTACTCATTCTAATTCTATGATAGTGCCTTCCACTTTACGTGCTGTTTACCTTGTGATAAGGTAATACAGATAAAATAGATTATATTGTAGTCTTGGATTGTAATGAAATGTTGACAATGTCTAAGTCGATAGATATATTGTTTGTGAACAAAGATATTACACTACAGTAGATGGACCAAGATAATGAACTTTCAACTTTCACCTCACAGGTATGGAGTGCAGGTAGTGCCAGAGTGAGAGATGGTGTGTGTGTGTGTGTGTGTGTGTGTTTGTAAATGTTCTCCATCACCTATCAAAAGAACCATTGGCCATTGGGGCACCAGGAGTCGAGTTATGTCAAAAACATAACAAATATGTCATAACATTGTAATACACAGTATTACTGAGAGAAAAAAAACGAACTGTATTGACTTGCATATTTAAAACAAATTAAAACAGATTTCATTTCGTGAGCTATAATTTCAATCATTTTTTATTTATTTTTTATGTACAAAGGGAATCTGAAGACTTGTAACCTGCAGAAAAGAAGTATAAATATGTGTACTTCTCTTTTGTGTATGATACAGTTTACCCCACACGACTGATCCAAATCAAAATAGTGATAACAAATTGCCATGGTAACATTGGCAGATCATCTCTGTAGTTCCTTTGGCCAATCAGTGATATATATTACCCCAAACTGATCAGGGATTGGCTGTATTTCCCTGTATATTAATTCACCTTTGTATTGGCTCAAATACATTATGTGAGAGCAGGAGCTAATCCGATTGGTTAATCTGCAATTGTTATGTTTTTGAGCTGTGCTTCCAAATCCCACCCAATTACTTTGATACGAAAGTAAACCTCAGATTTGGTGTTGCAAATTCAACTGAATTTAGAAACAAATCACAACAATGCACTGAAAAACATTGGACCAATTGCATTGTTGGAGGACATTGATTTTATCCAATCACAGTGCGTTTTATACACCTATCCCTTTGATAGGAGAAATCCCTACGGGGGAGAAATTTCAAACAACTTTATTAGTCCACTGTTCAAGCTACAGACACAGAAACAACCAATGAGAATGCGACTCCACTACTCTGTTGCTAGCGCTTTAGAGTGAAGCTTCTGTTTCCCAGGTAACCACGTGATGATGAGGTTCTGTGTGTTCCGTGAGTTCCATTTTGGCCATTCCCTCTTTCCAATATTGCCGCTGGCGATAATGGACAGCACACCTTGCGGGGAATGTAGCCATTTTGGGGTGGGAGGCAAAGGTTGGTTTATGCGGCAGCAGCGGGTTGGCTGTGTAGTGCTCCAATCACATTCACTCAAACCGTCCACTCAAGTTAGGTATAACCATGGCACCTTCTACAACCTTCTAGAAAGATACACACACCTGTTATTACCAGTTATAAAGCCTTCATACGCCTTTTATATACCCTGTCCATTTCACACCCTTAACCCTAGCGCTTCTATACAGGAATGAGGTCAACTTACTGACCCCTGACATTTAACCTTTGACCCCACTCCTATGAGTTCTGCTCCAGGTACTCGTCTATCATAGTGAGGTTATTGAGCCAGTCCTCGTTTGACCCCACCAGAGTGTCAATAAAGTCTACCTCCCCTCCTCCACCACCACCAGGCCTACCCCCCATCCCCCCATTACTCTGCCCCTGCTGAGTGTACTCATACGGGGGTAGCTTGTGTCCAGGGTTCCCCTGACCTGGTCCATACCCGGGCCCATGGGGGTGGGGATGTTGGTGTGGGTGGGGTTGGGGGTGTTTGGTGACGACGGCCCCAGAGGCAGGATAGCTAGGTAGGGCCATACCGTGGACTGGGTGGGCTGGATGGTGGATCATACCAGGGGGAACGGGTTTCATCCCAGCCAGGGCCGAGAGGGGTCCCCTGGGCCTCATACCGGGCTGAAGTCCCTGGTGGACCATGGAGGGTAGGGGCTGCCCTGCCGTGGACACACCCAGCTTCTGCATCAGTCTCCTGGGAAAGGACGGCACCCCGACCCCTTGGTTGGAGGGTAACGATGGAGGTCCTTGGTGGGGGGCAAAATTGTTACCAACCCCGGGCATCCCCGACCGCAATGCCTGCTGGGTAAACTGGCCGTTGGGGTTCAGGTTGCAGCTTCCGTTGGTGCCCCCACCCCCTCCAGGAAATATGTGTCCGTGCGACTGCTGGTGATTGGCAGACGGGTCCATGTGGCCGTCGCTGCAGGGCATGCGATGTTGCATGGAATTCACTAGTCCCCCCTGCTGCTGCGGAGGCCACATTGCAGTCTGTTGTTGTTGTTGTTGTTGTTGGTGTGTTTGCTGAGCGGTAAACATCAGACGTGGGAGTGGTGCCCCTCCACCACTATGGGCCTGTGGTAGATGCTGTGGGTGCTGGGGGTGACCAGGGGGTAACCCCGACCCAGGCCCTGACCCGGGCCCCGACCCCACGATTGTCATCCCCGTCCTGGACACCTGCTGCTGCATCCCAGGCCTTGGAGGACCAGCCGGACCGCCCATACCCATCATGCCGTGCGCCAACTGTGGTTGTCTCATTGGCATACCACCAGCATCAACAAACTCGCCCCCCTGTAGACAACAACAAGGAGAATCAGAAAAACACAAAAACAACTGTCTTGTCTCAACTGTTAGTTCATCTTACCTGTGAAGGGTGATAGAAGGGCTGCTTGGAGCCTGGAGGACCACCCATGAAGGCGCCTACCGGCCTGCCCACTTGGGTGAGAGATCCTGGGGGTCCGGGGTGGCCTGGGTGGCCTGGGGGAAGGGAGAGGCGGCCGGGCCCAGATGGGAGGGGACCACCGTGGGATAGCTGGGGACCACCCATGGGGTAGCCAACACCACAGTCTGCAGAGAGAGGCCGACCACCACCTAGAAAGAGGGAAGGAGATGGACAGAGGGAAGGAGATAGAGAGGGAAGGAGATAGAGAGAGGAGAGAGGGAAGGAGAGAGAGGGAAGGATATAGAGAGGAGAGAGGGAATGAGATAGAGAGGGAAGGAGATGGAGAGAGGGAAGGCGATAGAGAGGGAAGGAGATAGAGAGGAGAGAGGGAAGGAGATAGAGAGGGAAGGAGATAGAGATGGATAGAGATAGAGAGAGGAGAGAGGGAAGGAGATAGAGAGGGAAGGAGATAGAGATGGATGGAGATAGAGAGAGGAGAGCGGGAAGGAGGTAAAGAGGGAAGGAGATAGAGATAGAAGAGAGAGAAGGAGATAGAGAGGGAAGGAGATAGAGAGGAGAGAGGGAAGGAGATAGAGAGGGAAGGAGATAGAGAGAGGAGAGAGGGAAGGAGATAGAGAGGGAAGGAGATAGAGAGAGGAGAGAGGGAAGGAGATAGAGAGAGAAGAGAGGGAAGGAGAAGAGTCTAAGACCTGAGAATATCCATCCTTCTGATTTCATGTCATTTTGAGTGCTTGCTGGTGATAATGAAAGCCAATATTATTTAGATAATACTTACTGGAATTAATAGGGAAATAAAACATTCAACATTTAGTTTGGTGTTTGACTGTACCTGTAAATGGTGCCCCCTGCTGGCACTCAGCCATCTGTGCGCCGTTCATCTGGTTCATCTGCCTCTTCTGCTCCTGCTGAACAACACAACATCCCAGTATTTAGCCTATGTAGGCTACTAACACAAAGACACTAGCCACAATGCATCTTCACTGCAAAAAACTAACAAACTTCAAAAAGCCCAAGACCTTGTCTGTCTGTCTGTCTGTCAGTCAGTAAGTCTCTGTCTCTTTCTCCATCCCTCCCTAAGTACCTGTTGTAGGTGTCTCCTGATGAGCAGCAGGTTGTTGTAGTTGGTCTGGGTTGGACGGGGCACCGATGGGTCCTGAAGACCTGGGACCATACCTGGGGTCTGCTCCTGGAGAGAGAGGGAGAGGGAGGGAGAGGGAGGGAGGGGGAGAGAGGGGGAGAGAGAGATCATTTTCACAGAGAAGCAAAATGTAGAAAAAGTGGTCATTTTCATGACAACAAAATGTTTCCTTTCATGACCGAAAAGCATGCACATGAGATTTGGTTCTGAAATAAATGAAATGCTTATCCAGTTAAAGGTATGTCTAAGAAAAATAAGAAAAAAACCCAGCCAGACATCTTTTCCCTGCTTTGTTATAAAACATGGCTTCCTTCCTTCCAGTGGGGTCGTAAATAACTGTATGTTCCAAGTGGTTCCAGGAGCCAAAGCTATGTGTTTGTGTTGGCCCTGTAGACTGTCCCCAATCAGTCGTTCCCACGTGAGCAACTCTTCCCCCTATCCGTCCCTCCCTCCTTCGCTCCCTCCCTCCCTCCAACCCCCATCGCATTTTCCCCTGGTTATCACAAAGCCAGCACATTCCAAAGATGTATAGCCTTTCCCTGCCGCCACCAAAACACACACACACACACACACACACACACTAAGCTCCTCCCGACACCATGTCTTTCACTTGGGATGGTGGCTTAAATGGAAATGGAAAAGGGCCGAGGGGGGAAAGGAGGGATGAGGAATCTCCTCTCATCACTGTCCTGCTGTTGAGCCGTTCTATCTCTTTCTCTCTCGTTCCTTCTCTTTCTGTGTTTTCTCCCCTCCTACATTTCATTTCCATCTTATTTAGAGTGGGTATCCCAAGTCATTAAGGCTAGCGCCATGCTTTAACCAACTGAGCTATCGGACCCATCTTACAACCGTGTTATAGCTTTAGCCTCAGGACATTGAAGCCATTGATATAGTGTTAGTATGCAGGTCAGGTATGTGTGTGTGTGTGTGAGTGTGTGTGTGTGTGTGTGTGTGTGTGTGTGTGTGTGTGTGTGTGTGTGTGTGTGTGTGTGTGTGTGTGTGTGTGTGTGTGTGTCTAGCCCCAGATGGAGTATCAGGTCTCTCTTCCAGTGGAAATGAATGGCATGTCAGCAGCAGGGCTGATAATGGCTATTGATCTAACCTACACTACCTCTGAGAGAGAGAGAGAGAGGGGATAGATAGAGAGAGAAAGAGGATAGATCTAGAGAACAGATGGAAGGGGGGATAGATAGAGAGAAGGGTTGGGGAGAGAAAGAGAAAGGGGTAGAGAGTGAAGAGTGAAGAGAGGGCTGGAGACGGGGGGGACGGGGGGGGGGGGGGATAAGAGAAAGATGGATGCAGGGAGGGGTAGATAGAGAGAAAAATTGAAAATATATTATAATGTCACTTGGGGGTAACATACCAAAGCAGGTCAATGCTGGAAAAAAAGAAATCATATTTTGTTCAATATCACCTGAAACCAACCCTAAAATCAGACAGCCATTTCAACCTCTATGGAAGTGTCAATTCCTACAACAGCCACTAGATGACGGAGTAGCACTCTAAAGCCTCTCCTAATCAGATGGTGCTTCAGTAACCCTCTGATTCGTCCAGGAGTGGGTCACCCTCTGCAACAAAATCTGTTATCTAGAGTAGCTAGGCTGCTACTGCTGCTTGTAATGACAGAATTTAAATGTTAATGTTCTCTCTCTCTCTCTCTCTCTCTCTCTCTCTCTCTCTCTCTCTCTCTCTCTCTCTCTCTCTCTCTCTCTCTCTCTCTCTCTCTCTCTCAATTCAATTTCAATTCAAGGGCTTTACTGGCATGGGAAACGTATGTTAACATTGCCAAAGCAAGTGAAGTAGTTAGTAAACAAAAGTGAAATAAACAATAAATATTAACAGTAAACATTACACTCAGAAGTTCCAAAAGAATATAGACATTTCAAATGTCAAATTATGTATATATACAGTGTTGTAACAATGTGCAAATAGTTAAAGTACAAATGTGAAAATAAATAACCATAAATATGGGTTGTATTTACAATGGGGTTTGTTCTTCACTGGTTGCCCTTTTCTTGTGGCAACAGGTCACAAATCTTGCTGCTGTGATGGAGTTTATCAAAAATTGGGTTTGTTTTCGAATTCTTTGTAGATCTCTGTAATCTGAGGGAAATATGTGTCTCTAATATGGTCATACATTTGGCAGGAGGTTAGGAAGTGCAGCTCAGTTTCCACCTAATTTTGTGGGCAGTATGCACATAGCCTGTCTTCTCTTGAGAGCCAGGTCTGCCTACGGCGGCCTTTCTCAATAGCAAGGCTATGCTCACTGAGTCTGTACATAGTCAAAGCTTTCCTTAAGTTTGGGTCAGTCGCAGTGGTCAGGTATTCTGCCACTGTGTACTCTCTGTTTAGAGCCAAATAGCATTCTATTTTGCTCTGTTGTTTTGTTACTTCTTTCCAATGTGTCAAGTAATTCTCTTTTTGTTTTCTCATGATTTGGTTGGGTCTAATTGTGTTGTTGTTGTTGTCCTGGGGCTCTGTGGGGTCTGTTTGTGTTTGTGAACAGAGCCCCAGGACCAACTTACTTAGGGGACTCTTCTCCAAGTTAATCTCTTTGAAGGTGATGGCTTTGTTGGGGAAGGTTTGGGAATCGCTTCCTTTTAAGTGGTTATAGAATCTAACAGCTCTTTTCTGGATTTTGATAGTTAGCAGGTATCGACCTAATTCTGCTCTGCATGCATTATTTGGTGTTTTTCGTTGTACACAGAGGATATTTTTGCAGAATTCTGCATGCAGTCTCAATTTGGTGTTTGTCCCATTTTGTGAATTCTTGGTTGGTGAGCGGACCCCAGACCTCACAACCATAAAGGGAAATGGGTTCTATAACTGATTCAAGTATTTTTAGCCAGATCCTAATTGGTATGTCAAATTTTATGTTCATTTTGATGGCATAGAAGGCCCTTCTTGCCTTGTCTCTCAGATCGTTCACAGCTTTGTGGAAGATACCTGTGGCGCTGATGTTTAGGCCGAGGTATGTATAGTTTTTTGTGTGCTCTAGGGCAATGGTTTCTAGATAGAATTTGTATTTGTGGTCCTGGCAACTGGACCTTTTTTGGAACACCATCACTTACTGAGATTTACTGTCAGGGCCCAGGTCTGACAGAATCTTTGCAGAAGATCTAGGTGCTGCTGTAGGCCCTCCTTGGTTGGTGACAGAAGCACCAGATCATCAGCAAACAGTAGACATTTGACATCAGATTCTAGTAGGGTGAGGCCGGGTGCTGCAGACTGTTCTAGTGCCCTCGCCAATTCGTAGATATATATATTGAAGAGGGTGGGGCTTAAACTGCATCCCTGTCTCACCCCACGGCCCTGTGGAAAGAAATGTGTGTGTTTTTTGCCCATTTTAACCGCACACTTGTTGTTTGTGTACATGGATTTTATAATGTCGTATGTTTTTCCCCCAACCCCACTTTCCATCAATTTGTATAGCATGCCAAATTGAGTCAAAAGCTTTTTTGAAATCAACAAAGCATGAGAAGACTTTGCCTTTGTTTTGGTTTGTTTGTTTGTCAATTAGGGTGTGCAGGGTGAATACGTGGTCTGTCGTACAGTAATTTGGTAAAAAGCCAATTTGACATTTGCTCAATACATTGTTTTCACTGAGGAAATGAACTAGTCTGCTGTTAATGATAATGCAGAGGATTTTCCCAAGGTTGCTGTTGACGCATATCCCACGGTAGTTATTGGGGTCAAATTTGACTCCACTTTTGTGGATTGGGGTGATCAGTCCTTGGTTCCAAATATTGGGGAAGATGCCAGAGCTAAGGATGATGTTAAAGAGTTTAAGTATAGCCAAGTGGAATTTGTGGTCTGTATATTTTATCATTTCATTGAGGATAGGATACCATCAACACCACAGGCCTTTTTGGGTTGAAGGGTTTGTATTTTGTCCTGTAGTTCATTCAATGTAATTGGAGAATCCAGTGGGTTCTGGTAGCCTTTAATAGTTGATTCTAAGATTTGTATTTGATCATGTATATTTTTTTGCTGTTTGTTCTTTGTT